TCCTTTATCAGCTTATGGAGCATGTGTGTGTGTGTGTGTGTGTGTGTGTGTGTGTGTGTGTGTGTGTTTGTATGTATTTGTGCGTGGTGCAGGTATATATCAGAACTGGGATTCACTTGTCATCCCTACCGATTTGCAAATGTAAGCACGCACAAGCTTTGCTCACATGTGCCACTTCTGGGCATATCCACCGTCTTCTGCGCATGCATAGTGCTCATGCATTACTTTGGGGCGGGTGGGCAGAGCCTCCTGCAGCTGCTGCTACCAGTTCACCAGAAATGGAGAGAACCTGCTGAATACCATCTCCGGTATATATTTATGCATGCATATAGCATGTGCATGTATGTATTAAGTATGTAATGGATAGATACACACTTTCTCTTGAGAACAGGCAACAGAAATTCATTTTTAATGTGGGTTGATGGGCTCTCAGTAAAAAAAAAATGACAAAAATTACCTATCAGTGATGGGACTTTAGGAAGAGCTTTAAAAAAAACCTGTGTAAGCATCCCAAATAGTTTTCGCATAGGAAAACTACCCTATTAGGATACCTTTTAGGATTTTATAGCTGAAAAGAATGCTTCACTGATAAGACCACTGGGGACTTCAAAAGTGACACATTGTCCTATAGTGGTGGAGTTATAAGTTCTGTGCAGGTCCCTGAAGATTTCCTAGCGTCCCTGCAGAATGCTCCATAAGCAAAGATGCTCTCCGAACAAAACTTGGGGAAAACTAGAGGTACAAAGATGTTTAGAAGATTTCTCAGATGTGGTATGGGAATATTGCCTTCTATTCCCTTCTCCTACCTTTCTGACGTATTTTAGGAACCACTGCAGTACCATTGAAAGGGGAAAATAGTTGGCATGCATATCTATTAATGGGCCTTTCCCTCTCCCTAGATCAGTATCAGATCACCAGGTTACCGTCCTGATTCACAATCTTCCAGTTGACAACCCTTTATAACTAAAAGATGCTTTATGGATTTATCTATAGATAAGAGATGGGATGTTGGGTGAAGAGTTATTTGGTTGTAACATAATAGGTGGTAAAAAGCCATTAAATTTGCTAATACTTGTCATGAAGTTTGGAAATTACACTGTAATGATATATAGTTTCTTTATTATGTACACTTATTTATTTTTCTTTTTGTTTCCCTTCACTTTTTATAATTTCTTCCCATTCTCTTTCTCTCATATACTGTATATGAGGATTACTTCTTAATAAAGAGGCCAAGTATTATGATATAAGCCAAGTTTCAAATGTTTAACTGATGAAGTTGGAACAGCTGTTTTGACAATCATGAGCCTAATGCTGTATTCTTTGTAAACATAATGATGTTATCTTCCTTGTTAACAAAGCAAGGAAGTCTCAGTTGCAATCAGTTTTTTTCTAATTTGATACAATAGTGAAGAGTTAGGTGTAATGATATGCTAGAAAAAGCCATGTGCCGTAACTCCATGTAACATGACTTCCATGACACTAATTCTTTGTTCATCAGTAATGAAGCTTTCTAACAAATGCTGTTCTGCTAATCGTATACACAGTGAGGGTGCTATTTCAGGTGACTTATCCTCATTTTGAATATTATATGCCGATGCTTCAGCCTCCTGTCTTGTTCTGTCTTCTGAATGTTTCATGAGCTGCATCTAGTTAAAAAAAAACTATCCGGTCTCCGGATACGCTTCAAGGTGCTAGTTATCACTTATAAAACCCTTCATGGTATTGGACCTGGGTACTTGAGAGACCGCCTGCTGCCAATTACCTCCCAAAGACCCATTAGATCGCACAGGATTGGCCTCCTCCAGGTTCCGTCTACCAGCCAATGCCATCTGGCTACGACCCGGGGGAGGGCCTTCTCTGTGGTGGCCCTTTGGAACGAGCTCCCTGCAGAGATTCGGGCCCTCACCTCTCTCCTGGCCTTCCGAAAAGCCGTTAAAACCTGGCTGTGTCGGCAGGCCTGGGGTTGATGAGTTCCCTTCCCCTCTCGATTGTGTGTCTGTTGGTTATTTTAAATGCTTGTATTTGTAGTTTTTGTGTTTCCCTTTCCCTCTTGGGNCCTTTTATTAATTTCCTGTGAATTCTGCTCATTCACATCCAGCAAAGTCTTTCAAGGGAGGATTTACAGTCACAGACCTTCTCTGGCTTGGAGAGATGCCAGGCCAATAGCTGCAAAACTTGGCAAGGAGTCTCAGAGAGTCACAAACCAATTCAGTGAACTAATGGTCTCCTGCAAACTCCCCTCCCCTTTTTCTCCTCTTCTATTTCCTCTGGGAGGGGCCATTCACCGTCAACTGCAGCCTTACTCCCAAGTCAACCTCTGTTCTTTAGCTGTTCCCTTCGTCTGGCAACTCTGTTGCATGCACACACCGGGAACAGGCTCCAGCTGTTCGTCTGCCTCACTGATGTCTGACTCTGAAGGCAGCTGATAACTGGCATTTGGCTCTGAGTCCTTCTCTGCCTCCAACACAGAGCCCTCATCAGAGCCTTCCCCAGACTCCAGGACCGGCCCATGTTCCTCCCCAACCTCCTCAGTGTCCGAAACTGCTGCCAGTTGTGGTGGCGGGACACAACACCTTCCAGGAACACGAGACGGCTGAGAGTTTGGTCTCACCACTTTCCACGTGAGGCCCTGGTTCCAAAAGGAGGAGCCTTCTTCCAGGCTGAAAAGCGTCCCTCCGATGGGCGCCCCGAAGGCTGCAGCCACCCCAGCGGCCGCACCAGCAGAAACAAAATCTCTTTTGTCCCTAAGAAGAGAGGGGGGGAAAAAAAACAGAAGGCGCCTGAGGAAGAACGAACGAATAGGAGAGCAGCATTGTATTTTCCACACCCCACTGGGAAGGGCAACGGGCGTGTTTTAAGACCCTGACGGCTAACCCTTTTCTCCTTGCATGCTGATATTGGGTGTGTGTGCGCGCGCAACAGTGTGCACCCACACCCATAAAGCAATGCGCCCCACCCCCTGTGGATGCATGTGTGACCCCTCTGCGCTCCCCTTGCCCATGTGCACTACCCCTCCGTGCTCCCCACACACGTGTGTCCCCCTCCCCCCTCCGGGCCTAGCAGGCCTTCCTGAAGCCTCCCAAAAGCAAAAAATGAGATGCCGGAAATCAGGTGGCTGGTGGGAGTGCATGCGCCTGCACAGTGTAGCTGAGCTGAGCGATGGCTCGCGTGCCCGCAGAGAGGGCTCCACATGCCCCCTGTGGCATACGTGCCATAGGTTCTCCATCAGGGTTTTAAGAGGTACATTAAGTGGCTCACAAAAGATAGGACAACAGGGTAAGGAGGGACCTTGGAGGTCTTCTAGTCCAACTCCTTGCTCAAGCAGGAGACCGTATACCATTCTGGAGAAATAATTGGCCAATCAATGAATCGAAAAAGATCCAAGGGGGAAGTTCTAGTGATACATAGATGATTAAAACTATCCTTCTCAGAATTTCTTACTGTCCATGCTGGCTGGAAGCTAAACTATGGTTTGCTTAGTCATGGTTTGTCAGGAAAGCTCCAGGCAATTAGATTCTCAGAGTAGCAAATATGGCTTTCGATTCAGATCTGGATAGCTTTAAAACAGATTTTGGAAAGGAGTTCACTCATAGTTCATAGCCACAACCTGTTAGGGACCCTCAAAAATAACAAGGGAGTAAAAAAAAAAATTGCAGGTGGTTTTATTCACTGTGGAGTAGCTGGAGACATTTTAAAGAGCTGAGCAGATTTCACAATTACAAATTTTAAAAGAGGAGGAAAATAATTCGCTTTCCCATCCATCGGTGTCAGTCGTGGCCTGACAGCTGATTGGCACTCAATCAAGAAAGCACCCATTGATGAGAGGGTGCAATTGCTTCTCTATAAGAGACCAAGCATGGCAACCCAATAGCTAAATTTTCACCACTGTGAAAAAAAGCAAATCTGAAAACATTCAGGGTTCTCTTACACAGACAGCCACCATACCTGTCACTTCGGAAATAGGGGAAATTAAACTGGATTTTCCTTAAAGAGATACTCTGGAACTGCACAAAGAAAGAAAGAGAAATTCAAGAAAGAGGATACCTATTTGATTACACACATAACTACAGCAGCAAGAATTGTATTTGCCCAAAATTGGAAATCAAATAAGCTACCAACAGATGAAGAGATAATAAAAAAAGATATTAGATTGTGCAGAGATGAATAGGTTGACAATGAAAATAAAGGATAAAGAGGAATCGGAGTATTTCAAGACATGGGGAAGTTTCTATGATTGGCTAGAGAAAGGAAACTAGAAAAGAAAGTAGGGAGAAGATATAGAACCCAGACAGGGCTCTGTTAAATGGAAAAGCGGAGGGGGGGAGGGGAAAAGAAAAAAGAA